TCTATTGGATTGAGATGTGGTGACTGTGGAGGCCATTGGACTACAGTGAACTCATCGTCATGTTCAAGAAAGCAGTTTGAGATGATTTGAGCTTTGTGACATGGTGCACTATCCTGCTGGAAGTAGCATCAGAAGATGGGTCCACTGTGGCCATAAAGAGATGGACATGGTCAGCAACAATACTCAGGTAGGCCGTGGCGTTTAAACCATGCTCAGTTGGTACTAAGGGGCCCAAAGTGTGCCAAGAAAATATCCCCCCACCATTACACCACCACCAGCAGCCTGAAGCGTTGATACAAGGCAGGATGGATCCATGCTTTCATGTTGTTTACGACACATTGTGACCCAACCAGCTGAATGTCGCAGCTGAAATGGAGACTCATCAGACCAGGCAACGTTTTTCAATCTTCTATTGTCACATGTTGGTGAGCCTGTGTGAATTATAGCCTCAGTTTCTTCTTCCACGTGTTGTGCGTTCAGAGATGTGTTCTGCATACCTTGGTAGTAACGAGTGGTTATTTGAGTTACTGTGGCCTCTCTATCATCTCCATCCACTCTGCCCATTCTCCTCTGACCTCTGACATCAACAAGGCATCTTGGTCCAAACAACTGCCGCTCACTGGATATCTTCTCTTTTTCGGACCATTCTCTAGAGATGGTTGTGCGTGAAATCAGCAGTTTTTGAAAAAGTCTGGCACCAACATACCAACAGGGGCAAGTCACTTAAGTCCCCTTTCTTCCTCATTCTGATGCTCACTTTGAACTTCAGAAGTCCTCTTCACCACGTCTAGATGCCTAAATGCATTGAGATAATGCCATGTGATTGGCTGATTAGCTATTTGTGTTAACAAGTAATTGAACAGGTGTGCCTAATAAAGTGGCTGGTGAGTGTATATATCTATGGCAACGGCGGTGCATATACAGGCTGCGGTCCATAGCGTCTATGAATTCCACTACATTGTTTTGCGTTGATTTTTTTTTTTTTTTTTCGTGTTTATCACTAATTTGAAAATCTGAAAAGGAAGCGTGGGGATTAAGTGCAGCAGACTTTGAGATGATCACCGTCCACGGCCGCCGTACCAGCCAGACCTGCCAGACGAGATGCCACCAAACTGCCCCAGGAGGAAAGAGAGGAGAGCCCAAATTAAAGCTAAGCTAACCCAGCTAGGACCTGAGGCTTCTCCACTGCACAGCCTGCTACTAGCTGTCTGATGTTCTGCTGCAGAGAAATAAGAAGGATGAATAATTCTTCAGTGAAACCCAGAGACGGGAGGTCAGTGACGTCGCGTTGTGGCATCCCGGATAAAACTGCACTTGACGGGCGAACCAAGCAGAGGTTGGACGAGGGGAGGTGGACTGTCGAGTTTTATATTTTAAGACGTTTTTCTTGTGTTGTAAATGGCAAAAAATGCATTTTGTGTTGCATCACTGTGTCGCATAATGACAATGAATGATCCGTGAATTCAGTTGTCTAGAACTCTTATTGTCACTCTTATTGTGAAGAAACAGGAAGTTCGGTTGTTGCAGTCTTTTTGCCAAGTGATATGTGCCACAAGAAGTGGCTGGTCCCACCACGACTCAAAAAAACATCGAGCCACAGCTTTCAGAGTCTGCACTGACCACAAACCATTCAACACCTTAAGATCTCTGCCGGACCCCCCCACCTGACTGGAGTGATGTGTGACATCATCGTGACATCACATGCGACAGCTGTTGACAACATCAGCTGTCTGTGAACACCAGACCAAAAGCACTCTGGGAAGAGGTCAAAGGTCACCAAGCAGAAATCAGGGGGCGGCCGAAGAGAGATCGGGGAGGACGTTCACAACCTATCACCATGGTAACTGAGCCACTCCATCCGCTGAAGAAGGCCATGAGGTTACTTTGAAAGCTTGGCCTGAAACTAAGCTGTGTGCGTGTGGGTGAGCTACATTACCATGAATTACAGGAGCTGGAGTTCACAGCAGCAGGTTGGTGTGCGGTGGTCTGTGGGTGGAGGAGGAGGAGGGCCTTGTTCTTGTAGTCCATTACTCATTGGAAATGAAACGGAAGCCTAACAAGACCCAATTAAGCCTCCTTCAATTAAGAGACGCTTAAAAAGAGAAATAATTCCACTTCTTTTGCTTCTTGTCTTGTCTTGTAATAACAAACACATTACAGGCATTATTAGCAATGGATGCCCTCATTCTTATTAAGGCGTGGAGACGAAAATCTAATTAAAGCAACTGTGTAACAAAAAGCAACGCTCTAATGAGTATCATTGCGGCACACGTGAAATAATGTAAACGGAACTCTCTCGTTTAGCTGCCCTGTCCCGCTCATTAGCTGCAAGGCAAAGAAAAGATAATGAGAGAATCACGTAATCTCAACCATATTTACGACAGCTCAGATATTCTAATGAAGAACGCAGCTTTGGAAAGCATGCGCTGGTGGAGGGGTGGCCCGCCTGCCGCTGCAGCAGGAGCTGCTAATTCCTTTACAATATGCAGATGATATGCAGGCTTTTCTCTCACTCTCTCCTGGCAGACATGTCAGGTCATTTGAGCATTTGCACAGACGTCAGTAAAGAAGAGAGACGGAGGAAATCCGTCTAATTATTTTGCTTCCCATACATGCATTAAGAATTCTAATTTGTAATTAAGAGACAAGATGTACTGGCAGGCTTCTGCACGGGTTAGTGAACATGGCATGGGCTTGTGGGTAATTACTCAACTTTAATAGCTTAAAAGGGAAAGGAATGCACATCCGTGGTAAAAACAGAGGACTAGAGATAGTCCGCTGTCCAAACTTGAGCAATTAAATGTAATATTCAGTGATTGTGAAGAGCGTCTTATCTTTCTCTGAAAGGGTGACTAATGAGGATTTACTCAAAGAGAAAGGAACTCTGTGTAAATGTAGACACTAGGAAACACTTTTCAGTCAAACTGCCAGAGTGACTGCAGCTGCTTTTTTACTGTGTGCTGTTGCAAAGAGTCGACTTAAATCCGTGTGAGAGTCAGAGTTTTTAGTTATTAGGTCTGCCTCACACACCTTAATGACTGCAATCATCAGTCGACAGGCCTCTGACTTGTGGTTCACAGAACAGCCCAGGAATACAGGATGCCAGGTGATAAACCTTTTAAAAACCAAGTCTCGACTCAAAAAACTCAGCTAACTGGTAAGTGTTACCAAAATGGAGACGGATGGTGGAAAAAGGGGGCAGAGCAGCATGATATTTCGCGGTTGGAAATAGACGATACTTGTAAAGCGATTTCCAACCTCAGTCGGAGAAATCGCTTTACAATTTACTTCTCATTCACACATTCCCCAACACACCGATGGCAGTGAGCTACCGTACAAGGTGTCTTGCCTAAACACACTTTGACATGTGGAAGGAGCGGCTAGAGATCGAACCCCTGCTCCACCCTCTGAGTCACAGCCGCCAACATCTCCCTGCTATTGAAGACACTGGAACTGTTGGGGTGTGGAACGCTTCCTCTCACACGTCTTCATCTAGAATGATCACACGGAAACCACACACATGCGTTTGTAAAGCTACAATTTGTTTGACTTAGCCGAAGTTACCTTTTCCATGATAAAACTCTGGCTTTTTTCAAATGATGTCTTCTGCCAAACAAATAACAGTAGTGAGTCTTGAGTAACTTTTGAACCAGTCCCTAAAGGAGGATTAACCTCAGTTCCTGGGTCAGTGTCATCCTTCTGACACTGGTAGTTCTAGAACTAGAAGTTCTCATGTCTCGGTCAATAAAACAAAGAGTGAGCGCGCTATTGAGTTCTCCTTAACAAATCAACTTAATATATTTTTTTGTTCAAATCTGATGCTTTCACATTACAGGTGATAATCAAAGGCGCACACACTTACAAGGTACAACATGAGACACATGACGTGTGACGATTTAAAAAATCTGTAAAAAGCTTCAGCTCATAATTAAAACCGACTTATTTACACCGATTTAGTTACAAATAGGAATCGTCTGGGTTAGTTGGTTATGAGGAGCTCATATTCTGTCATCCAAATCTTGAACTTCTCTTCTCAGCTATGAAGTGTTCAGGATCAAAAGAATCAACTAATGATTCACAACAAACCCCGTCTCACACCATAATCGAGGCACTTTGTTTCATTGCGAGCCTTACTTCAAACTCGGCAGTGAACCACAGGGTCAATTGACACGCAGACAATGCGACGCAAATTATGAACGGAAATACAAAGAGTGAGCGCGCTCGGCACTCAGACCGCAGAGAAGAGCGCGATGTAAGGCTCGGATTTTCTGAATTATTTCAAAAGAAATGAATCAATGCTGTGACCTTGTGTTGGAGAACCTCCCTGTGTTCAGCTGCTGGAGATGATGGAACTACCTGAGCACATAAAGCAGTCAATTTGAAATCCCACCTTGACAATTGAAAGACTAAATCAAGCATGGCCAGTGCAGCTACACACTTCTCAATGCTTAGCAAGTATGACAATGACCCCCAAGACCTTTGGAGCTGTACGGCCTTTACATGAAGCATGCTCAGTCTCTACAGTGGGCCGACCACTGGGCCATTCCCTTGTTATACTTAATGGTGCTCAGCTTAGAGCGAATATATCCCAAGGCCTCCGAGCGCCGCCATCTCTATGAGAGCGTCATCTCTATTATCGACACAAACACGGCCAATACAGGCAGAAAGGGCTGCTATTCACTGCCACAATCAACTGGAGACCCCATCACTGTCATAATGGTGATCTCAGTGGGGAGGACGCCGACGAGCGCTCCAGCCTGCTCCAGTGAATGCCACTTAATAAAGGCAATGATTTTATTCCTCCCCCAGCAGCAACATAAGTATACACACTCCGGGCCCTGCTCGCCATCCATCATCCTTGAATGGCGATAAGTGACAACAGTTTCCCCCGCTATTCCCAGCCACAGAGCCGGAGCAAGGTAAGGCACCAGCCGCGGATGATTATCTGGCCGTGCCACTTAAAATCATCATACAATTAAGACACATCCCTCGAGTTTTACCGAAAACGACAGACGAATCAATGATGATGATGGGAAGTGTGAAGAGAGAGACGGAGCCAGAGAGGGCTGAGCTGAGAGAATGAGGCCCACTGACTATGTGTCAGACACGGATACGGCGGTGGTCAGCATGCTCATGTGAGACAACGAGGGTACTCTCATTTCCCCTATTGGTTGCATCAAAAGTAAACAGGCCTAACCCTAACCCTAACCCCTAATAACCTCATGATGGCGCCACAGCTACGGTTATTTGTTTCTAAGAGTTTAATAATACACGTATTCGTATTAAGCCGTTCGGTACGAGGCTTACGAACCGAACAATACGTTTGAATAATACTAGTGCATTTGGAAAATGCAGAAGCTTAAATTGTGGGAAATATAATGTTTTCGGTGGACTGTGCTCACGTAGTTGACAACAGGCTGTGGCCTCTCAACCCGGGAAAAAAAAAAAAAAAAAAACACTTCTGAGAAGCTCGGCTAAACTAGCTTAACAAACAATAACTCCGCACATGACGGTATGCTTCGTAATTAATGGACAATGCATATAGTCCAAATCTATATAATTAACACAATGACAACAACAAACTCACAAGAACCAGTCACATATATTCATATGACAACAGAGCAGCAAATCAACCCAGCAGACCTGCAGCGGAACACGCATTCTGCTACACACTCAAGGGCCATTCAGATATTAGATGTAAAAACAAACGCTGTTGACTTAAAGACAAACTCCATCCTCCTTTCTTTGTTGACTAAGAGTTTAATCCCACGGTTAAATCCCAACTCACAAATCCGTTTCTCCTCCTTCAGCCATTGAGTGTTAAAAAAAACAAAGCTAGGTAAAAAAAAAAAAAATAATCTACACCAAGCAAAATGCTAAAAATGTCATAATTTGTTCCATATCTTTCAATTTGAACTGTTACTACTCCAACTAAGCCTCTGATGGCTACTTTAAGTTTCGTTTCATAATATTGTATATTTCACTTTATTTTATATTTTACTGTACATTTTAATATGTTTGTACTTTTTGCAGTGTTGACTGTTGTTGATTGTTTAATGTTATGCACCACCCATCATGTCAAATTCCTTGTATGTGCAACATACCGTGGCAATAAATGGTTCTGATTCTGATGTAACATCTGGCCTTTTCATTTAAACAGAAAACAGGAATCTTACTGATCGATCCGCTGAATGGGAAGTTGGAGTAAATCCTCCAGCTTCTGGTTGTGGAACTCTGGTCGGGCTTCCTGTAGCTTCTTAAAGCGTCTGAAGGGCTTGTTTTTCTTTAGCTGGATCTAAGACAACACACAAATGGTTGTGAAGTTATTCTCAGGTCCATAAAACCACATTTACAAGACGCAGCTTTGTGCTTGGCAAAGTGACATTTTCTGAGGTGCAGTTCGGTTGTTCTTGAAATCACATCCAAACACAGCTTTAGATAGCATTTTCCCCTTTTCAATTCAATATATTGTGTACAGCCCAATGCTCGGCAATACAAATGTCCTGTCCACACTACTCAGTCCAGACTACACATCACCTACTACACCTTGTTTTATGACACTCTGACTAATCAACAAGAACATAACATACTAATGAACTGAGTACATGTGTCTCGTGCTCAGGAGCTCATTCACTGTGAGCTATCTATTATGTGCTTTCTGCATGCAGCTTGTCAACCAGTGGTGCACATGTCCCAAGCTACGACCCCTGAATCTCCTGTCACTTTCTCGATGCACACTGTACCTGACAAGACCCCCAAATCATTCAATATGCTGGATTTGCCAGCATATTAAGGAGGGGGGAAGGGGAGAGATGTAGATGTTATTAAATATGCATTTGCACATCATGTCAGCGTGAGTATACGTCAACATTCGGATGTCAAAAAGACTTATCTCGTCATTCCCATAAATCATCAAAATAAACATCTGCTGCTGTGTTTAAACAGACCCGAGGAGAGCTCTACCTGGTTTCATGGCTTTAAACATCAGTGGATGCCACTTGACTTTACATGCCAGCTGTGTGTGTGTGTGTTGCTCACATACAGCTGTTTAGCTGGTCATTATGCCTGTGGCAGCTAGAGTTGGACATGGTTAGCAGACAGGTGGCAGTAAGTAGAATGATGGGGACAATGTGAGAGGAATCACTTATCAGGTTGAAGCGGTGTAGTAGTGACAGAGTGGGGTGGGGTGTAAATCAGACACTTGAGAGAGCTGACGGTTTAGATTTAGAGTTGAAGGTTGCTAACTGTGAGTAGAAACTCAAATGTTACGGCGCTGCATTTTGTACATTGGTAACACCGAAAGACAGCACGTGATACAGTCGCCATGATATCTCTGATTAGTATTGAACCACACAGCTACTGGACATGTAGACTCTTGCTCTTACAAAGGTATTGCTGCACTTGAACATGCAATATCAGATACCGGCGAGTTGAAAACAAGAAAAGTTTACCAGCTCATAATTCCCTCTTAATATCCATTTTATATTGCTGTGAACAAATCTCCTACAAACAAGTGGATTTATTCAAGTTGCACCACAACTAAATTAAATAATGTGTAAGCAGCACACACTAAATGATAGGTTAATTGGAGGCGTGTACATTGCAGCCAGAGGGCTCCACCCACTCCTTCAGGAGAGCATTGGGATCAGGTGTGGGAGGAGACATGCCTGAAGCTGATCTGCTAATCAGGGACATGAATAAAGGTGAAGCAGGACAGCTGATCAAGGGAGAACATGTGGAGAGCATGCTGGTTCCTCCCTAACATCTCCAGGGGGGAGAGAGTTAAGACCGGTACGTTGTCTAGCGGCCCGGCTGAAATACTTTAGTTTGTGTAGTTTTGTGATGGAGCTCTGGACTGAGCTAGATTTTCTGTTGTTTTGTGTTAGTAAAGTGTGTTTAATTAAAGATCGTGAAACCTGCAGAATTGTCTTTATTCTCGTTCTATAATATCATAAATACAACAAACTATAGTATTTGTATATATAATATAACTATATATAAAACTCTATAAGCTGTGATATCAAATAGCTTTTGCAGCTCCAGGCAAATTTTATTTGGTGAAAAATAGGGCAAAATGGCTCTTTGGATACTAGAGGTTGGCGACCCCTGGACTAGTTCGTACATGTGCAGACTAACCAAGATGGGTTTAGTTTTATTTTGTTTCTGTCTAGTTTGAATAAAGTGTGTCTTACGATGAGGAACAAGGCCATTAACCTTGTCTAAGTTCTGTGGAAAAGAGAAACTTAAGTTGAAAAGGTTCGGTTCAGGTGTACAAATATTTTTGTTTCGTGAGTTGATTTTGTTTAGTCATCAGCCGTAGCGAAATAGCAGCTTGACCGCAATGCATCCTGGTATAAGTAGCCACAGCCGGCACGGCTCCATAGCAGGAGAGATCGTCTTTCTCGGCCAATAGATCACACATTGGGAATTAATTTCTTCTTTGGACTACATTTCCCATGAGCACTGATTGGACATCCACATAAAAGGGGTTGGGTCTTCCCTTTAAGATGGACCTATTCTCATTTTAGTGACAAACTGCTCCCCCGACTTCAGCTCAGCTTTGTTATTAATATTTCTTTAACTGATAGAATTAATCAGTCAAAATTCTTATTGTCAGTTAACGTTTATTAACACCACTACTTTAATGACAAGGTCGGCAATTTGATCCCCGGCTCCTCCTGTCTGTATGTCCCTGAGCGAGACACTGAATCCCAGGCACTTCCCAGCCCACTGCTCCTCAATGCAGAGGCTGTATTTCACTAAGTTGTGCTGTGTACAATCGGATGTAAGAGACACACATTGCAATGCAATAAACTGTGCTCCACTGTTACACTACGTGAGACCAAACTCTTCATGGATGTAAAACAAAAACCAGAAGTATTGTTAGTTTATAATTGCATGATAAGATCATATCATCGCAGTGCGATTCCAGTGAAAGTCCATTCAAAATAAAACTGAATTATTACGCAGCCCTATATTTGCATATGACATTGCATGATGGTCACTAATATTTCAGAATATGTCTTCAGTACATCTTGCAGACATAATGTTTGATATGTAATCTAATTGGGAAACATAATCAGGCTAATGTGGGTCAAAGGTTACTCTCATTAGAAGACTGATCACAAGTTACCTGAGTAAACCAGCACACCTGTCACCACAACACGCTTCCCTGTTCACTCAATTATAATGGATGTCAATCTGCAGGAGGATCAATGCAAACTAGCAGGGATTGGTCCGTAATCAATGCAATTAGTCAATGTTTTGCAGAAACCTCCTTCTTAATTAAGACATTATTATTTTTGCCGCTGTGGTGCAAAGCTAGCAACAGGACATTGCTGCTGGTCGCTCCAATAAACAGTATTCTGTACTCTGTACCGCTCCACCGGCATCATTGTCACTGATCAGATAAGTCGACAGTATCAGGATGGGATTCATGCGAGGGTGTCATTTTATAATATTTAAAGAAAATGTATAGTCCAACAATTTGGGGGACAGGCTAATTTGATTTCTTCCGATATTGAGGTCAATCTCATGTCTGTGTATTAAGTATGGCTTAATCACATCACATGTAATAACATCTTGTGAAGGGCTCATCAGTGCTACACGAGAGTTTGATGCAGAGGTGTGATAACCACGTGGAAATACTGTGTTCCTACCCCGAGCACTCTGCTGCCATTGTAGATGTTGTCCATATACGTGTTGTAGTGGTGCAGATGTGGACACATCTGGTCAAAGCCTCGGCCGAAGTAGCCATTCTCCAGATGGACCAGCAGAGATCTGCAAAAACAGCACCACGTTAGATATAATCAATTACAAAAAGACTTAACATTTTTAATCAAAAATTGCTCTTTGAAAGAGTGCAAATCTGGAGATGGCCATGCAAATGGATTATTTTAACAAGCTGTCGGAGATGAAAGGTTTTAGCCGGCTGAACTCAGCATGTAGTTCATCAAGGAAGCCATAGTCCTGAAGTTTAATTTACCAAAAATAACTCAATTGTAATTAGGGCTGCAACTATAATTTATATTATTGATTAATCTGCCAATTATTTTCTAGATAAATCATTAATAGTTTGGTCCATAAAATGCTTCCTTTTAAAAGGTGCTCTGATGTCCTAGGATAAAAATGTCTGCATCAAAAAAACTGCCATTAAATTATCAATATACTTTTCCACTTTCAGGAGGTTAAATCTTTTACCAATCAAGTTTGGATCATCGCTACCAAATATTCATTTTCAGAATTTTAACCCTTTAAATGACGGTTAGTTTACATACATTTTTTTTATGAGGAAGATTAAAAAAATATTTCCTGTATATTTAATGCTAAGGATTTTATTTCATTTTTTCCACAGTCTGAGATATGTTTGTGATTAGCAACAACATTGATTTTTTATGTTTTTTTGTTCAGGAAACCAGGAGAATAGCTCAATGTGGTGGAAAATAAAAGTAAAAAGTATCGTTTTGAGCAATAGAATGCAGGATCTTGTACTGTAATGGCCCTGTGATCCAACATCAATGAAATCTACGCCATTTGCATCAACACAGCCAAAATGATTGGAAAATTTAAAAAGCCAAAATGTCTCTAGTGAGGCGCAAGGGACAAATGTCTTGTTTTGTCAGTACAAGTCCCAAAGATATTCGGTTTAATATGATAAACAACAGAGAAAAGAAGGAAATCTCAATATTTGAGAGGCTGCCAATTTTAAATGAAAAATAGCTTCAACTATATATTGTCAAATAGATTAGTCAGTTATTATCAAATACACCACACGTGTGTATGACACACTGACCTCGCCACTATAAGTCGCTGTCGACCATTTTTAGAGCATGCAAACAAGCAGGCACTCATTACCAATTCACAACAACATCCTTAACTCCCACACAGGACATTGCAGAAGGAACTACTTCAATATGTGTGGCATATTTGTTGTGCATGACAGATCTCTGACACATTCATTTCAAAGTGCCCCCCCAGTGAGCTTTTAGCCTCCAGTCAAACCACATTGGACTTTGAGTTAGCGCGCATTACTGCCTGACACTGCACCGCTGCTCTGCATCAGTGGAGAGAAGGAGCTCAAATAAGGCGCCATCACATCTGAGGCATCATTTCTCGGCAAAGACACACGTTTAGAGGGAAGTGCGGCGGCTGAGCAAAGTTCAGAGGATCGCTTCCCCGTTAATGGGAGGGGGGGGGGGGGGGTTTAGCGGGGTGAGGTTCTGTGGTGTCATCTGAAGGCCTCTCCCCGTGGGTGACATATTTACCGGGACCAAGACGGTGGGTCTACCTTCAGGGCAACCAGGGCCACTTTGTAGTGCGAACACACCAGCCCAACTCGGGGAGGAAAACAACTGGATCAAGGCAGAGGCAAAGCAGTCGTTCAGCCTGTCAGGCACATTACAGTAACACGGACGCAATTGGTTGGGGGTGTTGACACTTGTGAAGGAGCTTGTTATCCAAACTTAGAGGAAGTACCACATACACACACACACACACACACACACACACACACACACACACACACACAATCCTACGCTCTAATGATGTTCCCAGAGACTTCTGTTCGTACATGCTGCAAGAAGGAGCAGTTCGCCGTTGAAGTTGATTTAAATAGATTTTAATGAAGTTGTGCACCAAGGTAGCCTCTGTTCATAATCAGGAGATGCAGGAGCAGCCAAGAGAGTTCTAACGAGGGCAAAGGGCGGGAAAAATTGTGTTTCCGTTTTTTTTTTCTCCCCCCTTCTCACTGCCACAGGCTATTATGATAAATATGAAATTACATTTTTATACTTTCTTTTTTTTCTCCACAGCAATTAAATTGTCTGGCCATCAGCAGCAAGACAGAGATAACATTAGCATTCTGTGCGTTTCACGTTAATCCACATTAATTCCGAGCAGTGGCGACATCTGGGGCGGATACAACCTCGACCAAACAATTCGGGCCAAGGCGCCTTCATTTGAGGAAGGGGTGGGGGGGGGGCTTCAACAGAGGAATACTAATTGTTCGGACAGTGTGAGCATCCGCGAAACATAAATGACTGCTTAATGAAATAAATAAACATAACCACGAATCCCTGATGAGACAACAAAGCTATAACGTATCATTTTGTCGCTCTACGTGAACTGTGAGACGCGACTCACACTGTGATGACTCGCGACACTCCATGTCTGGTGTACCTCTCACACTACATCTACTCTCATTGTGACCCCCC